TCAAAATAGTCCCCTGCCTATGCAATGCTCTCATGCCAACGCTTTTTCCAAATATCGAAGCATGTCAAATAGTCACGTTCTGTTATGGCCTTCAGAAAATGTGTTGGCTCACGTTTAACCTCCTCAATGGACTGAAAACGGTGTCCTCGAAGTGGTCTCTAGAGTGTTTAAAAGAGTCAGGAGTAACATAGTGCTAAGTCCGGTAAATACGGTGGTTGAGAATTTTTAGCGAAATGGCCGCGAAAAATGAATGTGCATTATTGTGATGCTAAAACTACGAAGGCACTTTTGGTCCTTTAGCAAACACAAGCGTGAATGCGTGAAGCTCAAATTAAAAATTCAACTTACTTTTTGCTCACAGTATATATGTATATATATATATCTAAAATATTTAAATTATTTCCTATTTATCGAAATGATTATAAAATGATTATATGAATATGGTTATTGTCCACAAGGGCTCCTTCATACATTTTTCTGCAATTCACAAACTCATTGACTTTCATAGCGATTCATGCATAGTTTTGCACTTCTCTCCGCTTTACGCTGCATTACTTTTTATTACAAATTAAAACAGGCAATAATTTAAAACAAAAGAGAAAAGTAAACTTTAAGCCACAACAGGTACTGAAAAGCAACAAGACATCAATTAAGCATGAATAATGATGTTACAAAAAAAGCTGTGGTCACTCGATACGCACTCTTTACTGACTTGACTGACCAGCCTGACGGTCGATTGGTGTGGGGAAAGTGGGGAAATGCATAAATTATCATGGAATAAATGAGTTTAACCGCATCGGAAACGTAGACTTTATTTGGTATCAAAATGTGTTCATATGTATGTGTGCGCTGTCACCGAGGCCGCACTGCTGCCCAAACTGACAATTGACTGATGCGAACAACAAGCGCGCTGCTTGATGAGTGGCTGAACGAGCTGTTGTCATGGCAGATTGATTGGTTACGATGATATAAAATTCTAGGGAAAAATTCCATAGCTTATGGTTCGCTATGATCAGAAATATATATATATATATATATATATATATATATTTTACATTCATATATATACATTCATATATCCTTATTGAAGGGACAGAAATCAATACGGGCATAAAACAAGTATTAATGAATTAAAGGCGGAAAAAATTGCTGCCACACTGAGTGTATACTCATTGAAAATTTGCGAAACTTTACAATGGTTAAGCAGAAGTTATGCTGAAATACAATTAACATCGGTTTCTTTATGTAAAATTATTCATTGCTTTACCTTGCCAGCAAATAAATGACTGCAATTTTAATTGCTCTTATTATGAACACTTAAAAGAGAGGAAGACCACAATAACTGTAAATTAATTAAAACCATACTCCCACACTTACTGCGGAAGACTAGTGTTCAAAAGAGAAATTTTGGGGCAGTAAAATGTATTTATTATTGGATTAACTTAATTTATTTAAAATATTCAGTAAAAAAAAATTAAAGTTATAATTAAATTATAAACAATTCGGAATAAAATTTTACTTACTTAAATTTAATTCTTTTATATTATATAAATCAACATTTTTAGTATTTATTCATTATTTTTTGATATTTTTTAATATAGGCCATAGTAATTAGTAGTTTTTCTAAACGAAATGGTACCAAGATAATTTTGTATTTTTTATTTTCAACATAAAAAAAATTTAATTTTTTTAATCAAAATTTTTTAACTTAAAATTTCAATATATTTATAATATCTAGTAAGCAAAAATAATAAGAAAATTTGATTTAAATTAATATTTTATTTTGTGCTAGAACTGAATATAGAATATAATACTTGGAACACTTGTTTAACTCCCATTGATTATTTTCTTAATTTTTGTAATATATTAAAAATTATATTTTTTCATTTTGATTAAGCATGTCTTCAAAAATTGTTGTTGAAGCTTTTTCGAAATCTTTTAATTTTTTTATTTGTATAGTTTCTGAGAAATAATTTTAAACTATCTATAGCCGGCTTTGCTTCAAATCCTGGTGTCGTATTAACATCCAAAAACTTAAAGAAAATGATTTTAAACAAAAAATGATTCTAAATTTTCTATTTGTGGTCTCCTCATAAAAACCATGAGGTACCTCAATTTGTTGGAAAAAGAAAGACCGCTTCAGCGGTTACACAGAGTCAATTATATACAATATATATAGCCAGTTTTTTAAAAACTAGTAATTTTATATTTTTAAAAATTTTGTTAATGGAAATGTTTTTAAATCATTTTTCATTTATGAATTTAATAATTGAAAAATTTCACGAGTCGATACATTTGCACAATTTCGCTTTAAATTTTTTCTACAGCTAAATTATATTGTATTCGGAAATTTTCCACAAGGTATTTCTGTAAAAGCAAAGTAAATACAACACACACAAACATTAAACATCAAAACTGCGCTCTTAAGACCTACTCAATGTGGCATCAATCAAACGTGCGTTGTCCGCCTATTTCCGACAGCTGTCAACCACCCTATACGCAGTAATTATTTAATTTATTATGGAGTTTCATTTACTCGAAATGCTTTTTAATACGCCTTATTTACTTAAATTGCGCAAAAGTGCTGGCTCTGAAAGTATTTAAGTACGAGCGTGCGCTTATATAAATGGTTGTATGTTTGTAAATCCATGCAAAGAAACTATATATTATTTATTTTTGTAAATATTTACAAAAGTGGCTCTTTTAAATTTATTACTTTATTTTTCTTCTCTTTGCAGGTAAGTTTCGTTCGATAGTCGACTTGGTTGCTCCAGCTGCTGTAAGGACTCTTACTACATTTGACTTGCTGCTTGTCCTGTACTTGCTTTCAATCGAATCTCACTTTCATGAAGACACATTTTGATATTAATTGATTTTATTGATGACCTTTGATAAAAATTAAGAACATTTTATTTTATTTAAGTATGTAGTTTCACCTTTCTTTTATTGTAATATATTCGTTAGCATGAAAACGTAAATCATCCAAATTTTGAAAAATTTTATAATGGTGAGATGTACATACTCCTAGTTTAGTTTTGTAGTACTTCCAATACATGGTTAACAAACAATACGTCTTCAATGTAGATAACTTGTAAGTAATTAAGGTTAATAATTGAAAAACTAAGTTTTAGTCAAACAATTGTTAAATAACAATCCAATATATCCAATAGAATATAAATACGAGGTGTGTTCAGAAAATATCGCGAGTTTTATGTTTTTATTTCAAAAATTATTTTTTATTCATGAATATCTATTTTGTCCCCTTCAAAGTCTTTATATCGCCAATCGTAGCGCACCGTCGTCCTTTCATGGGCCTCTTCACTTTAGGGAACAAGAAAAGTCAAAAGCCAATTTTTGTTCTTCCACAAAGCCGGGCGTTTCTGGCGGATTGCTTCTCGCCAATTGCGCATAACTTGCAGGTAATATTCCTTATTGACCGTTCTACCCTGTGGCAAGAACTCATGATGCAGAGTATGTCTGCAGAGGCGTAAGACATTTTCGACTATAAAAGTTCCTCGGATATGATTAACTTTTTATACATATATAACTTTCATTCTCAAAAAGTCAAATTTGCTTTTATAAAATATACTAGGGCATAAATATCTTATATATAAATTACTATGTCCGTTTAAAAATTAAGTAGTCTCCTAAAATATCCAAATAGTACCGACCGAATGATTTGAAATTTCGTCATTTTATTTCTATGATTGCTGGTAAGATTTTTCCGTAAAAAGATATTTTGAAACTGATTCGAAAAAGCTTATTTATGACTCGATTTACTTGAATTCATAATATTATTAAATTTTAAGTAGCTGACCTATAATGACCTAGTTGAAAGCTTCCAAACAAAAAACATTTGCTTGTTATAAAAACCGAATAAGGAATAATTTATTTTATTTGCTTTTACTTCAATTTATTTTACTTGAGTTAATTTTATTTTCTGTTATTTTATTTTGTTTGTTTTATTTTATAATATTTAAATTAAATAAAATTGATTCTTTTTACATAATATTATTTAATTTTTCTAAATTTTAATTATAATTTTTTATTCAATTTAATTTTAATTATTATTCCTAGTATTTTCCAATTTATTTTATTATATTTTAATTTATTTTATTATATTTTTTTAATTGTAATTTTTATTATCTTTATTTTATTGCATTATACTTTATATTATTTAATTATTATTTTTATTTTTTGGTGATTTTATTTTATTATTTCTTTAATTTAAATAAGTTTTAATTTAAGTTTATTCCACGTTTTAATTTTTTTCATGTTACCTAATGTTATTTTAATTTTACTTTATGTAATTTAATTTTATTTTATTTAATTTTCCTTCTTTTTATTTTGTTCAAAATTAATTTTATTTAATATTACATTTTTTTATTTTATTTGACTTTATTTCAGTTGGTTCCATATTTAAGTCAATTATTTTAATTCATTGTTTTTATATTTAACTTCATTTTTATATATAATTATATATAATTATAAAGGTCATTTATAAATTAATTTATTATATACATTCTTTTATTTTGTTTGATTTTAATAAAAAAATTTTTATTTTTCTTTTTGCTTGCGCTTTAAGAGTTTTGCAAAGCGATAATATTCTGGTATCATTCTGAATGAAACTGCAATTTTGAGTTCTTCAATACTTTATAGGTTTATAAATAATTTAATAGCACTTGTATTTTGTGCATTTGATTGCGCAACAACTTTTAAGCACAAAACAAAAAGGTAAATGTTTTTGACTCAATCTCCACAAAAATTGTTTTCTCAACCTCATTGTATTCTTTTGATGGGAATTCGAAAAGGATGAAATGATATTTTGAAAAAGACTAAAGCTCAAAGCTCATTGCCTCTTGTGGGCATGATCAATCATCTCAAGCCGCACGGTAAAGTGCCTTACAATAAATTTCTTATTACTAGCTCTTTACAATTCTGATTTGCACTTTTCATACGTTTTGAATGAGTCAGAGCAAAGGCAAATGATTTTTGACTGCACAATTACTCAAAAAGCTCAATCGAAATATATGAGTGGCACTCAAAAAGCATTGGCATAATAAATTTACCGATCAAACGAATCACATTGATAAGCATAACTTTCTTTCGTTCAATACTTTTATTTTATTTTACTCCTTCCCCTTTTAATTCGCCACAAGTATTTATTTTTGCCTACAATTTAGCTCGAGCAGCAGTAGCTGGAATCCTTGCTGGCAGCGAGCCATGGTCTTATAAGTTTTAGTTGAATAAATAAATATGTTTGCGAGTTTATTTGTATGAAATGTTGTTTGTGTATTCTGACAGCAGGCAGTTAGGCACTTTTGCTATTTTGTGTTTAATATTTTGTTGCTATTTCCTGTTTTTTTAGGAAGTAGTAGTTTTTTCTATTTATGTATTTAAAAAACATTATTTGAGTACTCATAGGAAGCTTTAAGCTTTAGCGATTGTTTGCATTGCAATTCAAATATTTCTACAAAACATTAACTGCAGGCGAATAGCCGATGAAGTGGCAATGCAATACTAACTAAAGGTGCAGTGCACTTTTGCATACATATGAGTAATTATATACATATATGCCTTCACAAATATATAGAAATATTTGCTAATACCCAGTACAATTTATGTTCATATACTTTTAGATATATATACATACCTATAAATTGTTTTGAAATGAAAAATAGCAGCCGTTTGACCATTTCGTTGGCTTGAAAATTTTCCATTCAATATTTGTGCAATAAATTTGAGTGACTGCCACTTGGTTGCTTAAATGTACTCTATACTTATATATATACAATCATACATATATCGAAAATTGTGCATTTAATACAGTTCATTGGCTTTACCGTTATTTTGAACTGCATTGCCTTAATGGTATTGAATGTCGGTTGAGGCGACTGGTCTGCCCCTGTGGCTTAATGCAAACAGCTGTGATTTCAGTGGACTATACATATATAAGTATATATATAAATATTTGCGTATATATTAGGGTAAACTGAAAGAAGAAATGAAAATCGATCTTATCAGTTTTTCCTTTTTATTATTATGTTTTCTTAATTTTAGATTTTAATAAATGAACTTAAATTTTTGAATTCAATTGATATCATTCATGTTTGTATTATGTTTATTGATGACCGCTGTTATTCTTCCTGGAGGAGATATCCTAACAAACTGTTCTAAAATTCGCATAAACATTTATGCGATGAGTACAATAATTACACGATTATCTCAAAATTACGACCCAATGATGCCATCGATATAGTCATAAAATACAACGGTAAGTGGTACCAAATGGTTTTCCCTTATGTGTGCTATCTGAAGCAAAGATTCTAAGAGCAGACTGGAGGAGATGTAATGCATATAAGACATTTGAGACGACCTTCACCGATCTCTCTGTCTGTGACAGAGCTATAGGCAAGTACCCCGCTGTGTTGCTCAATAAATGTGGAATACTCAAAGAGAGGATTCAACTTTTTCACCAAGCAGGTGAATGTTGTAATTCTACTTTATGCTCTTTTGCCTGCCTTTTGATATTGACATCCGAGTCTATGATATTTTGTAGTAAATACAGATGGCTCAAAATTTAATGCAAAATAGGGGAAGGTTTTTTCTTGGATACGCTCTCATTGAAACTTTCAGGCAAACTACTAGACTAGCCAAATAACCTCAAGGCGAAATCTACTATGAAAATAGTAAACAAAACATTGGAACCGAATGCTTAGAAAAATACAGCTCCATGTTCGATGGCATTCCCGCGACAGTGCAAGCTTTTGTACAGAAAACCAAAATTTCGTACCGAAAATACTACTATATATTTTTAAATAATTGATCACGATAAACTCTATAAGAGAACTGACTATTCATCATTTGAGCCTCTGGTTACAGAGGCATTGAAGGGAAATTCTAGGTAGACGAGTTAGGCAAGGCACAATCATGCAAATTACTTTGCAAAGAGAAATATTTGTTATGCAGCTTGTGCTGTCGCAATTCGAGGCAAGTTTCACCGAATTGAGTGAAGTCTCAAGTCCTGTGCCCTATAAAAAGAACCGACATTTCATTTCATAATATATGATATTTTTACGGGTCATTGCCTAAAAAGTCACATGCAGAAAGGCCAGAGGTACCTTTCAAAAGGTTTCACACGAATAAAAAGCGACGAATTTCCACCTTTTACGTAATTAATCTGCTCTAAGCAGATGTAGAGTTTAGTATATTGGTATCTTGTCATTAAGCAGGAATCAAATAAGCATTATATTAAAGTCCATAAGAGAGCTATCGTAACCACTGATAATCCAATCAGATTTTAACTAAGGAACCGATCAACCAATCGCACAACAGAAACTCTGTTTAAGAAACTAAAACAGATTATGACTGAGCCAAGATTTCGTCGGCAACTAGGCAGAAAAAATTGTGCCACTCTTCGGAATCGCAAAGAGGTTATGAGACGTTAAATGCATGGACCAGGCCTCATTGAACTTCTTTACTAAAAATTAACCATACTTTTACGGAACTCAAATTGAGTATGATACCCGGTAACGAAATATCTAATAAAAAGGAGGCGTTACATCAAACTACAAAACAAAACCATACCCGGAAAAGATGAATGAGAATTCATAATAGAAAATAGTCATCGGCTTAGTTTTGATATGTGAGGAATCCACAGGTACCTTGATGAAGATTAATAACATAATCAATTTCAGCACCATAAGGCTAGGGTCGAATTAACCAGAGGTGACCAGCAGTCCTGATCTGTGCAGTTTCTAAACGAAAAATTAAAAGGTATTGGTCTATATGGTTTTGCCAATAGTCGCTTCACACGTGTCTAGGCAGTCTTAGTTCTTTTTGCCGCATTTCGGCTTTCACCACTGGCGTACCTGCTGATAAATTTCCATACCACCCTAACATAAACTTAAATATAATGTACCTCATAAGAACTGCATTCATTTGGGGGTGGACAGGATTTAAATGACAGAAATGTCTCGTTCCATTTGCGAGGTAGTTATAGATGTATACAAGTATATGTACTTTTCCCTTTTTTAGTTTATTTTCCGACTAACTGCAATTTTATTGCAGCCAAAGCAGCAGCTAACGCCAAGCAACGCTGCGACAGTTGTGCAAAGCGAAATAAGCGCACTTGATGGCAAAGTTGAGTATTGAATAAATAGGATTTTCCGCAGGAAAGCGACTGCATTGAATGTGAAACTACTATTTATATGCTTTATCAGCTCTTAATAAATGTTCGGTGAACTTCTGGAAATTGTCGGGGCAAACTGCAGGAAATAAAATATAAAAAATCAATTCAGAAAATTTTTAAAGCTAATAAAACTTTAAGTGAGTTTTGCTGTTATAACATACAATTAAAATTATAAAAAATTAAAATTAGTATGTAGTGGAAGTTTCTAATGAAAAATAAAAAAATAAAAATAAGAAAGTAAAAAACCAAGTAAGTGCTTCTTTTCAAATATTTTTATAATGCTGATATGGGCCATTTGAAGCTGCAAAATACAATAGTATTGCCATTAGCTACCCCAAAGTATATTTTTATGCCACCGAAATTATGTTTAAAAAGTATTACTTTATTCCTTCCAACCTACTAAACACACAATTGCCCCAAATTGCAACCCAATTACATGACCACAGCATCTTTTTTACAATTCAAAGCAAATGAGTGTCCTTTCTGCATCTAACAAAGTTTCAGACATAGAGCATTGCAATGGAAGAAGAAGTATTAGAAAAGGATGAAGAAGAAAAATACGAAGAATACATAAAAATGTAACTGTCCGAAAGTGTCTGACCGCAATTGTCCGACAATTACAATGCAATTCCATTGCGAAGACCACAACATTATCACGATTGCATGCCAGCGTAGAACAGCAGACATACAAATACATACGCAAACACACTTACATAGTGATACATATAGCTAGAATGCTTTTGTTAGCACACCTTACCACCATTTCATTTCAGCTAAAGTGAGCTACTTCCTCTAAAGCCTTCCCCGAGAATCCTCCCACATGCTCAAACATAAAATTGCAAATGCAAACCCCAGAGTGTCATCTTACAACAATAATCGTGTGCCGCCATTGCTTGGCTGCTTTGTCAGCAAAGCTGACCCATTCAAGCCAACATAATGCCGTCTTTGTTAGCTGGCTAACCGCAAAATGTGGCACAACTATTCTCTGCGATTGTCTCATTTCAGATCCTTGCCCTCTCGCCGAGTGTTGTCGTCGTTGTATTACGCTTCACTCCCAGCTCGTCTGCAGGCAGCAGCGGGATTTTCATAAAAGTTTATCAAGCAGCTAATGGGTACAAGCCAACAACGGCAGGATAACAAACCGAAAACATATTGTGGCGACGATAAAAAATGTTAAAGAAGAAAAAAGGAATTTTAAGTAAGGAAAATTAAGCAAAGAGGTTTTCGCAATTATTATATTCATATCAACAACTTGTAGAAAATTTGTATGATTTTTAAATAAACTGAATACATATGAAAAAATGTAATATAGTAATTAAGCGGTCGATTTTATGCTTTGTTCAATGTATATTAGTATATTTAAAAATTTAAGATATTTATAGTCCAAAGCTCATCAGCTCACTGTAGTGATAACTTTTGCTTGCGTAAAAGTTTTACATATTTTAAGCTTCCCTTAAGCAAATTGTGCGACATAATTTAAGGCGCAGTATCGCTCTCACAGATGAAACTGACCATATAATATCGAAGGAAATTCAGGCAGTAAAAGTGACTCAGTAGAAAAGCGATATTCTTTTTTCTTATGCAAAAGTTGTGACTAATACCATACTTTAACTCTTCTAATGTCTTTAATTACTTCAAAAAATTGTTGTATTCAAGTAAAGTTATAAATCAATAGGTGTGCAAAAAGATTATAATTTCCAAAAAACTTAAAAAAAAAAATATATGAATATTTGTACAGTTTGCTCGTGCCTTAGTGACGCGACTTCTAAAGCTTCTTTAATTTAAATTGTGATCCGCATAATAATTGCCTAATTTTAAGTTATATTTGCAAGGAAAAAGAGTAAAATAAAGAAATGAAATATAAGTAATAAGAAATATAAGCGATTACGTAGCTACTCGTGTGAGTTTTTATTTCATATTTAAAATATCTATTTTTACAACGGTAAGCTTTTAAGCACGTTAACAGAAATATTATGGTTCACTAGAAGAAGTTTGGAAAGTTAAAGTTAAGAAGCTTTCTGTTGTACGGAGTTTAGTTCTTTCTCCGCTCTTTTTCTTTAGTGAGCAATATTGCCCTTTTTAATCGCTCTTATAGTCTTCTAATAAATCGTATCACTGCTATTAGACATCGGCGGAATATTATCGATACTTTTGGTATCATTAATTAACGAAACAGTCGGCTCCGCCGACGCCGGTCTGAACACGAGAGGCGTAATGCTTTAGTGATTTTTCTTTTTTTGGCTCACTCAATTTAATGATTTTTTTTTCATGAGGATCTTTGATTTTCACTTCAGAAATACATTTGGAGGGGTTGACATTCCCTACCGAGGGAAGGCCGTAATTATAAAAGTTAAATTAATTAAGTACCAGGACTCGAAACCTGGCCGTCTGAATGGTTTTAAGCAATGCTAACCACTCGGCGATCGCGGCCGCGGAATTTTTTTAGCGGGATTTATACCAAAGCTATAATAAACTGATTTAAGTTAAAGAGATGGAGTCACTTTCTTAAATTTCTAATTGAGATTCAAGTAATTATTTTTTAAAACATCTCTGAGCAATTATCGCTCTAACTTTTTCGAATTCTTCTACCTGAAATACAAAAAATTTTATATAGTATTGATCCCGTTAGATTCCCTTTTAATGATTTGTATGAAAGAAGCGCGAGTCAGCCATGGAATTTGTCAACTATCAAAGCTAGAAAATGCAATGGGGCAGACTCTAATTGGAAGATACGATTAAAAAGGAAGATAAACTCGAAGAAAAAAACAAAAATGTGAAATGAACTTGGCATAAGCAGCAAATGCATGGGCGTATTAGCTGCTTGAAATGAGAGTATCGTAAGTTCACTTTCGGGTAAAAAATCATTTGTCTAAAGGTATAGTTCATCAAAAAGTAGCACACCTAGAGCCAAACGGGTGAATAAAAAGTAAAAAGCCCTTTAAATGGGGCGTTCTTGTTGCTGGCACACGCCCATATCAATTCCATGGTAAATGGAAAAATCAAAATTAACGAATTTTCTCATGGTTTCCGTGGCTCTTCAAATATATAATACTTGAACTCAAAAATGCGCGGTGCTACGCCTATCTGACTTTTTTACTGCCTTTCCATTTTTCCCTAACAAATATGACTATAATTATTCATTTTGTTCAAAAATACCATATGAGCGTAAATTTTTTTTTTGCCTACTAATGACCCAAAGAATTTGTGAACCAAGTTTCATATTAATTTCTTTACACTTACTACAGGACAGACGGTCGAACCGACAGATATCGTTGAATCATTTTGCCAAGCCATTCCATGGAGTTTGATATATGTACCTATGTACCTATTTCAATTATTTTATATGCCTTCGGCAATCGTAACAAATAGAATAAACCTAATATACCAATGCTTATATTCAACCGAGTATAAAAAAAATGTATGCATTGTATACTTAATCGGCTGCTTTGAATTTTTATGGCATCATAAAACACTGTGCTATTTAGGGATACTATCTTCTTCAAATTCCGTCGCGTTCTTACTGATTGCAATACAAATTAATTAAGATATTAAATTAAACTGCTGATGGGAAATGAAAATAATTTAATTGCAATACATGAATGTACAATTACCACTTAACAAAGTAATTAAAATATATCTGCAATTTGTAATCTGCAAATTATAAAGTCAATGCATCGGTATATTTATTTATAATTTTTATAAATTAATTAAAATTGAAAAAAATTCGTTTTGATTGTCATCTTTACTTTTGATAGCTTACATGTGTGAGTATATATCCTATTGTGAGGCGCCAAATAATTTTTTTATGCATGTGAATATATGTACATGAGGGAGATCGCTCAAAAATAAATCTTATTTTTAGAGAAAAAATACATGTTTTTTTTTAATAATTTTAACAAATACTGAGAGGTTATGAGTTAACAGATAATGTTAAATGTTACAAAGTAGCTATTTTAAAATTAAATTCAACGATGATGGTTTTGTGCAGTTTCAACGTTAACGATTTTATTTCGTTTTGATAACATCGCGTCGAAACGGAACGATTGCATTTCGCTGAGCAAATTTTTCTTGCTGGAGTGATATGATTGCGTTTTTTTTGCATCGCCGAGAAACAATGAGCCAATGCAATTTAAGGATTAAACGAAAATCGGGAGTAGAAAAATGTGAGTCAAAAAATGAGTTTTTTACGAATACCCGAATATTCGCACGTAAATAAGAAAAAAAAAATCTCACATCTAAGATTCATTTGTTTGAACAAATGGGCGTTTCCATATATCTGTGTTGCTTTTATTAAATTTTGTCTTTTATATATTGTATTTGTGCTGCTTATGTCGCCACATAAACGCTTATCTAGGCGACCGTATGAATGTTCTTTTGAAAAATTAAAATTTTCTTTTATTTTAGCAAATTAACTTCTATTTGTTTTTTGGAAGCTTTTGGAACAGTTTTCCAACGCTTTACAAGCACATACTTGCACAACAGTAAATTCGTAAACATTTAAATCCATTTTAACACGCACACATACATATTTATCCCTGCACATACAAATGTGTTTGTATAGATGAGTGTTTTAAATGTTGTCGGGCAGATTTCAATTAGTAAAACGTGTTCATATATATATGTGAATATGCTTACAGCAAGTAACCAACATACATACATATATACACATACACGCATATCCATATAAAGAGTATCGTAAAAACCAATGGCTTTATTCACTTAAGCCATTTTTACCTTTTGGTATTTGCTGGACGCAACTCCGTTCAGTGGTCGTTGCCCAGTGCATGGTGGCCTTCGTCTGTTTCGTGCTTTCATTTTTCTCTTCTCTGTTTTTTTTTTTTTTTTGCCTTTTGCAATTTTCTCATTTCAACCAAAAAAAATATTTGTTGCAAATGAAAATTGGGTTAGCATTTTACTTCTTCATTGTATTGCCGCTGCTGGCTGTTTTCGCCAACTCATATGCCATGTGTGCTTTCTTGTGTATGGTAACGGGGAAGAGTAACCGAAGTTGGCTGGTTGGAGTAAATTTTCGCATTTAACGCCACAATACTCGTAATTAGAGTGGAAAAACATGAGATTAACATTTGGTGCATGTGAGAGTAAGTGCGAATATTCAGGAATCGTGTATTAGGGTTTATAAAAAATTTTAGCTTAGAACGTTTTTTTGTTTATTTTATATTTTCTTTTTATTTATTATACAAATTTAATCTAAGCTTTTTTATTACTTTTCTTTTTTTCCATTTTATTTTTCTTATTTAGGTAATTTTTTATTTCTTCAACTTTTTTTATATAATTTTATTTAATTAAATAAAAGTTCATATCATACTTTCTTGTATTATTTTATTTGAATTAAACGCAATTAAATTCTATTTACCTAATTTTATTTTAATTGACATCGTTTTATTTTTTGTTTTTTAATTATTTTATATTAATTAATTTAATTCGTATTATTTTTATTAATTTCTTTAAATCACAAGATATTTTTTGTTGCATTTTATTTTGTTTCGTTTAATTCAATAAGGTTTATTTTACATTATTTTATGTTTATTTTTTAACTTTTTCAGTTAATTAAATTTACCTGCCTTGCATAAGATTTTGTGTTATGTTATTTTAGTTAATATTTTAGCTTTATTAAAGTACATTTTTTTAGTTTATTTAATTATTTTTTAAAATATTTTATTTTATTTCAATTTAATTTTTTTTATTTTAATTTGTATTAATTTATTTTATATTAATTTAGTTTATTTTCCTCTTATATTATATTACTTTGTTTTACTTGTTATGTTTATTTTTATTTTTGGACATGACTTCAATGGACCGTTAGCTTGGCTTTCAGTGACCTGAATATCTCTTAAGCGTAACCAAATTTAAAAATACTTTTGAATATAATTTTACACCCAGAAAGGGTGTAAAGCCTGGCCTAATTGCGTAGTTTGCGTAACAATTTGTCGTAGCAAAAACAAGTTGCGGTTGTCGAATGAACGCAAGCTCTACTTCAATTTCACTTTTAATTATAAGTACGTTGATACTTACATGCATATACATATGTGAACATATATTTGAGTGAATAATTTATTTTCCTCCGTCTACTACAACATTTTATTTCCTTTATTTTATTTCTTTTATTTATTCATTTTATTGGTGCCAAATGCACTGACATTTAACTATTGTCGTTATTTTAATGGACGTAAATAACTTAAAATAATTGTAATTAATTAATTTTGTCCCAATTAAGGATCTGACTTTTATTTTAACTAACAACTCCTCCGATACTTCTATGTAAACTAGAAGAGGGACAAGATTTTGTGTGCAAAATCAATTTAGTTTTTAGGATGATGAAATTTGATATAAATACACTAAGTATGATTTAAAAATTATTATTTAATTAATTATAAAAATTAAAAAAAGTTATTCTATTTGTTCAAAGATAAGTCTCAAATAATACATTTGCGAGTACCGTTATAGCGGTCCTAAAATTTGATACTGGTCTCAAATGCTTAGGTCTAACTGTCCATTATGAACATCTCGTGTGAAACATAAAAGTTTTCACATGGAAATATGCATTACTTGTTGCTTACTTTCCTTTATTATTTCAGATTTTATTTAAGTATATTAACTTCTGCATACAACACATGCGTACATGAGACGTGATGTGTGCATACATCTCGTGACATCAAAATTTTCAAGCATTTATTTTAATTAAATTTCCTGGCTATTTAGCTTCGTGTTCGTTTTTCATACACACACACTCTCACTATTCTGTATTAAAAATTCACTATCGTAATTGCCGAAAAGTTTGCTCTGCGTACTGCCATTCGTAAGGCCAGGATTCGAGTCCTGCTTCGACCAACAACCAACAAATTATAGAAAATTAATTTTCTTAATTGCGGTCGCTCCTTTGGCGGAGAATGTCAAACCCTGCGAGAGTGAAGTTCTACATGACATGAAATGAAGATCTTCGTTCGGGGGCAGTTGAAAATAAACTGAAAGTGCATCACTTGTTTGAAAATCACATCAAAACGCCTGCCAAAACTATTTATATCTATATTGTTTTTTACTTAAATAACTTTAAGATTTCTGTAAATTTTGTCAAATGGGGTAATTTTAAAAAGTATTAAACGATTTAAGCTGAATACCAGTAGTTGTTTGCTTTTACACATTTATACATTTAAAAACATATAAATTTTGTTGCGAGCGTGTAAACTTACAAGTCTCTATGTAAATCAGTTTTTTTACCTAAAGTTAAATCTGCACCAAGAAAAATGAAATCAAAGCAAAAATTACAGAGAGCTCAATTGCTGTTCACAGGACGCGGCCATTTTACAAATTTAATTTTTCACTTCATTTAACTGTCTGTGTGTAGTTAAATTTTATATTACACTTGGTATATGGGAAAAAATCGTGCTGGTTGTATATCTATTTCGCAGTTTCGAAAATAAAAATATAAATTAAAAAGCATTTGAAATATTTTCTATTCATGAAATTTCGTTCAAGTGGTCAAGTTTGAACCTTTGCATTCAATTGAGCGCCACACAAGCTTTTGCAAATTTCCATCCGTTTGGGACCACTTTTTGGATAGCATGACGAATCTTGGTCTCCAAGTACTGCTCACTGCTTGTTATTCAAGCAACTCAATGATTTATGTACGGCCTTGTGAATGCTCAGCTGACTTCAGTTGTTGTCTCAGCTGGACTTTATATGGCCGCAAGAAAGTATCAGCTCTTTAGGTCTCCAGCCGTAATTCTCTTTGCAGTAGCGAAATTTGAAGTATAACGAGCAAAAAGGATATATAATTGCCTTACAAAACCTATAACCGATCTAGTCTCTTACATTTTTTTTAAATTCTACCAGTTACCTGAGAAGATGGACGATTACGTGCACGAAAAATTGTCACGTTTGAATCACCATTTTGTTCTAGCTTTTGACAACTTTAACGACGCTTTGTGCTGTTGTTAAGCGAACCTTTTCCATAAATGTCCGATTTTGAACCTAAAAAAAGCTGTTTGGTTTGACAGTTAAGTTGGTAGATGCCAAAATATAGCCTTGAACTTTTTAAATCACCAAATGGGTAGCCTTATATTTCCATATTGGTAACTGTAAGACGTTGGTTTTAATGCTTTTAGGCTTGTGCGTTTAGGCAAAATCTTAAAATAAAAAGGAAATTAAGGTACGATTTTTTCTTGTATTAAAAAAATGAAAAATTTCCTGGTTTTATTTTCTTTAAACTTCAAATATCTATATACATGCATATACATATAAAGAAGTATGTGACGACTAAGCCGAGTTTCTTAAAATTTTCAGTACAGCTTCATTGGGACCCGGAGTGTTCCTGCTAAGTTTAGTTATTTTTGAAAATGTAACAACCTGTCGGAAAAAAATTTTAAAGTATTTATCTATACAAAAAACATATATTGATTATAAATTGATGACATTTAAGAGGGTTAATGAAGAACAATTGCATCAAAAAATATTTTAAAATGTGTTGCCAACTTATCAAAAGTTGGCTATACGAGTACATATGTACAATACTTAAAAATCTGCTGGGTGTGTTTTTATAATTAAGATCTAAATGACGAATCCGACTTTGCTGCAATGTGTCCTGTGCATATAAATGGTTTTACAGATGGTGCAGATAAATTTCATTTACCTAGAAGTGAACCTCAAATCGGCGTACAACGATGATATTGGACTCAACGGCTTAGTACTGTTTTCTCCAGTTTCGATAAAGAAGTGGAGCATATGGGTCTGGTTGTGAGCGAGCGCAAATATTCTTTTGCCGTCAAATAAACAGTAATCGCATCCGCCAATCGGCTCCCTTGTCATTCTTGACAGTCTTAACTTTGAAGTGGATAACTTCGTCTATCTTGAACCAGCATTAACACCAAAAATAATGTTAGTCTAGAAATCCAGCGGTGCACTCTCGTCGAATGCAAATCAAGCGCTACAATGGCTTATCGTTCCCTTTCTGCCAGGAGGTGCGGAGGCAAGGACGAAGACAACATCTGATGAGTCGGCGCTAGGCGTTTTTGAGAAAAAGGTTTTGGGAAAAATTGTGTGAAAATGGGATGATGAGCTATTGTATATAAACGGCGACATTAACTTAGTTCAGCGATTCAAGAAACAGGGGCTGCGCTGGCTAGGTCATGTAGTCCAGATGGATAAGAATGCTCTAGCTTTGTTACTTCAATGGTGGGTAAAGCAGAGGAGGAAAAATATCTCTACTCCATTAGAAGGACCAAAAAAGGAATGAGCTAAAATTCCTCTCAGAAAGTTTGCCAAGACATCTACTGTTCCACGGGTATACAGGGCAGCGAAATATGAATTTGTCAAATAAAATTTTATAAACCTAAAGGAAACGTTGACCGCAGCCAGAATACTTCCCCTACATAGGTCAGCAAAATAAAAAGAAGTTTGGGATCAACTGTGCCATTTGATATCCGACGCCATTTGTAAAGTGGTAAGAGGCAGGGACGTTTGGTAGGGCCTGTTATATTTATTTACCTTTTTTTGATTTTGCTTCATATTATTTGATATCATTTTGCCTAAGTTTTTTACAATGCTTAGCTGATTTTTATTTATTTAATTGGATTAATTAAATTGTCAATTCGTTATAAATGCGTGCTGATGTCAACACTTTTCACTTAACCGCAAAAAGTATGTCAATTTAATAATCTTGTTGGCTAAAGGTATTATGCATATCAATTAAAAACGATACCCAATCAAATACATACAAACTTGTTGTGTATTTAAATATTCGAAGAAAAACACTTATCGAATAAGATTTAAAATAAATACTAATGCATATATACATATATATGAACTATGGATGTACAAATATATGTATAATGCAAGTAAATTTGTTGGAAGGAAAACCCAAATTTGTAAACCAAATTTAAGCCACAAATTGTCAAACAATTCTGTCATCAGGTAAACAATCAGAAATGCCTACGCAAGAGAGCTTAATTGCTTAGAGTGCAATTTAAAACATTCATATTAATATATGTACATGTGCATATTAAATGCAGAGAAATCTAAGATTCCTTAAATAGAAGAATTGCAGCCTGTTAGAAATTTCTCATAAATATTTGCAGTAAAATTTTAAAAATATTTTTTAAGCACTAAAAGACGGAGGGGGGGTAACAAATGCCTGCTTTCCGGTTTTGGAATTTCAAAAATCTTAAATTAAGGATTCAAATGCTATTGGTCAAAATAAATACTACATAGAATAAACTAATGTTCAGTTTAAGTTGAAGAGATATTAGCGAATACATATATGTTTGAATTATTTTAATTATCACAGTCACTTTATTTTCTGAAAAAAGATAACCTTTTGAGAGAAGCACCCTGTTTTTTTAAAAGCCATGCAAAAATTTGATTTGTAGCTTTTAGATTTGCCTTTGCGTAGACATGAAACTTTAATTTGAATACCTTTTCCCTCGCAAACAATACTTGGAGTAAATATGTTATGCTACACAAACAAAATTTGATATGTTTATTCTCTAGAAATTTGAATTTTTTTACACAATTATGAAATACTTATATGCTAGCAATGAATGAAAGTCTTTGAAGCGTATCTTCAGACAATCACAAATATTTATTTAAAAAAAAAATTTCAACTAAACAAAATCTGTTTATTTGTCAATTTCTTCTAGTCATAATATTTACACCACAAAATGTTAACAAATATTAAGCTTAATAAAAAGTCAATTCAAGTTTATTTTAAAATGTGGAAAAACATTTGGACATCCCAATTAACTTTTAATGTTGTCTAAAATAAAAGCTTATAAACTACCTTATTTAACGTCTTCAGAGTTCAATTCATACATATGTTGATCAGCTCAAACAATTAAATATAATTTGTGTGACCCTCAATGGTATTAAAACATATTCAATTAAACTGTAAAAAGTAATGTTTAAAAAAAGTTACAACACACATTTGAAACCATCACCATTTTTAATAAAATGATTCTAAATGTATTTATCATTAATAAATCTGATAATTAAGAATTTAATAAAAATCAATTGCACTAATTGTTTTCATCCATACAATTCCATTTTTTATTAACATTAAACTTTTTAGTACTTTGTTGAAATTGCTTTTGTTTTGTTGTCCTTTATGAGTACGATTTAGAATGATTACCAATGTTGCCTCATACATTTTACAACAATACATTAGTTACACAACCAAGCTAATGGGTATTTTATAAAGTAAATTTTTTTTCTACTCAAAGTCTAATTGAGTGGATAATCCTAATTAGCTAAATATGTGCCTGTGTGAAGAGCTTTAAATTAGCATTAAAATGATTTTGAGTAGATTTCTAAAATATTATTACGAAGTGAAAACAAATATTGGGAAAGAACAGATATGATAATAGACTTACGCCGTTTTCAGCAAATTTCTCAAAAATGTACCCGCATCATACCTAGTCTAAAGTATTTTTCTGTGTTTTTACGTGATTTCCAATGTCTTAATGTTAAGAGAAACTGGCTTCACAAATTTTGATAAGCCTAGGCGGCCAAATAAATTTCCTTGCAACAACTGGAATGTTCCAACTTTCTCACCCGATGCTCATCCTCAACCTCTACCCAATAAATTCACAGTGTAGTGAAGGAATGGTTATACCGCACCACCTCTTATTTTTTTAACACGGAGCTCATCCTGAATACCCAATAGCCGAATACCGAATAGCCGAACTGCTCTATGGGAATCATATATCAGCATCTTCCCTACTACCAAATATCCTCTCCCTCCTTTCCCTCCTGCCCTAATAAGCCCACAATTTTAATAACTGTTACTTGATTTGATGAACACATTATTTTTCTGACATTTAATTTACATGTCATCTATCTTTTTTTTCCAATTCAATTGTTCGCCAACTAAGTATTAATTACCGGCTAATTGCTTGAGTTTTTTTTTTTTTTTAATAGTATGTTTATTGCTGTAATGATCTTAATTGGATAATTGAGTTTCTGTTTGACTGGCGGTTAAGTAGTTCCAAGAAAGATTTTTATTCAGTTTCGTAATGAATGTAAAAACTAATTATTTAAAACTCGCTTAAGATAAAAAGTGATGTAATTTGCCAGCAACTTGAAGCCGTTTTGAACACAATCTGAATAAAAATCAGTTCAGTGTGTTAGTCGAAAGCCAAGTCACGGAGGCTGCAAAGCAAATATATCTTCATTTTCAGCGATAGTCAAGCTTACGCTAAACTTCAAATTAGTGTTGAACTGTCGCCGATCTCTACAGGAGAAGGCCAAACAGAATAGACTGTCTCTCATATGGATACGTAATCGACAAAGAACGCATTGGTATGCTACATGCAAACTGCTTCTCAAGGAACTCATATATGAACAAGCCACTACAAGGTGGAACGACATCATAACCTGTTGCGATACCAGGCACACGTAGCCGAATTGGGATAAGAAGAGATCACTAGATATGCACTCCTTAAAAAGAAACGACATGTCCAAAGTTATAGGAATTCTGACAGGCAACTATTTGATAGGACGCCACGCAGAAAGACTAGGGGCACCATATAGAAGATGCTGCAGAAGCTGAAAGAAAGATGAAGAGGGAGAGACGATCAACCCTCTCTTATGCGACTGTATTGTTTTGAGCGCCGTAAGTTTGGGACCCTACTGCTGGATGGTCGATCGAAAATAGCTGACGTCAAAGTCATGGATTTAGTGAGGTTAATTAAGGAAACAAAATATATGGAGGATGAAGTCTGATAGTTAATTTTTTGCGGTATCACAATAGGTCTAAGTCAGGCCTAAGTGAACCCGGTCTGATAGATCGGTGGCCATTGCAACCTAACCTAACCTAACCTAGTCGAAAATTTCGTCAAACGGTGCTCTTGTCAGGTTATACATAATTCGAATGTTTTGATTTCAATTACGTTAGCGTTTTTCCAAACTTAGCTACCAAACTTGCCAAAATCTATTGCAACTCGTTACTGGAGGATTTTTAATGTCGGCGATTACGTACCCGATACTGGTTTCTCAAAAATTTAAATTAAAATTAAAAAAAATTTATTTAAAAAATAATAAACTTCATTTTTCATTAAAATTTTTTATTCAATATTATGAATAATATATAAAATATAAAAAAATTTAATCAATTCACAAAAATTTTTAATGATTTTTCAAAAGTTTTCCGTAAACTTTTAACATTTTTTTCATTAATTTTCTTTTACCGACTGCTCTCATCAATCTATATCGCCATCTTCCTTTTACTAATAGATGTAAACATCTGGTGCCAAAATTTTCACTTGCTTCAAATCTTTTGTTAGAATAATGGACTGCCGTTACGATAATCGAGCGATCTTGAGTGATGTTAGTGTAATTGCACGATGCAGTGATCTTTGGTGGTTGGTACGCAGATATCTCTATCTCACAATTCCCAGTATTTGGAATGTTCGGTTCATATATTCTTTGCTTGCACTTGGCCTCCTCGGAACAGAAGAATATATATATATTTATTATGCACTTGGGAATCTATCCAAGTTATTGAGGCTCAATCCTTTTTTCATTGATTGAGTTTGAAAATACAAGCCATACACACATTGGAAGATGTCCAATCAATATCACAAATTGTATTATATATGTGTGAATGTTTATACGATATTTCCACAACAGCCCAATTACGTGTTTCGCTCTCTCAATCGCAATTCGCCCTCTAAAGACAAGCCGAATAATTTGATTCGCCATAGAAATTTTCGTGAGAGAATTACAGTAAGAGTGGATAATTCGTTCTCAATTGCCATGCGAATTACGACCAAATCGATGACTTCTCTAAAAAGATTATAAAAATTATAAATTTAAAAAAACACTGTTATTAAATTGCCGATTCAATTCAAGATTTTGTAAACTTCGTGTATGTAATTCAGGCATTTCAAAAGTAATTTTACGATCCTCCTCACAACTAAGTGCAGCTGATCATTGCAGACATAAAAACAGATTATACTTCGTCCAACCGTTCATACCAGCCTTCAATTATTGTAAAAGACTAATGATTATGCTGCCTTTGTACAGTTAAAATACTGCGGCCATTCAAAGATTATTCAGTGGGCAGGTCAGACTTTAAAAATAACTCACTGTTTTTGTTAAACAGGCGAGTAAAATATTTGCCGAGTTCTGTATATAAACTTTTCTTATAAATTTATTTTAACATTTAAAATTTATACTAATTTTATCATTATTATTTTTGAGCTTAGCATTGGTTCATGGCCCAAGCCTTGTTCGGTTGACTAATGGAAAAAGATATTTTCTGATTTTAGCAAAATTATCAGAATATGTATGGGTATTAAAAAAGAGATATTCAAAAACTCGTCTTCCATATTAAATGCGTCATTTTTGATTTGAAAAACACGTTTCATATTCGTCACACGCGATCACAAGTTTCACTTAATGTTTAGATTTAAGCGAATTTATTGAATATTTAAAATTTGGTCTGCCATATTGGATTTTTAATTTTGAATTTTGGAAAGTCAATACCAGGTTTGTTATCAGCAACCTCAAAAACCTCCCGTGTAACGAGTTTCAAGTGATTTTGATATACCCAGTCTCAGTGAGGTTTAAGTGAAGTCAAAGCTTTCTGACTGAGTTAAAAGTGTTTTTTTTTCGTTTTGTACACGAAAATATAAAATAGCGTATATTTTGAAAATGGCCTCTAAATTTGAATTCAGCCGACTCGAAGCAGATATACCGGGTACCTAATTGTTGGGGAAAATAGTTCCAAATTGTTTTTGTGTTGAATAATATAGTATTATCCCAATGAAATTGTTTTTCTATTACATTATTTAATGAAGCAGAAAGGGTAGTGTTCATAAAAAATTGCTCGAAGTCGCCTTTCCTTGCCGTTCATGCATTTACATCGAAAGCAAGCGTTAGGGAAACATTCAACAATGAAAAGAAAGTAAATATGTATATGTATGTATAATTAAGTGTAGTAAACATTTCCATTTGTTGGAAAAACATCGAGACGCAAAACCACAAATTGGAGGAGGAGCTCGGCGCAAAATCGCTTCAGCGGTTACAGAGCGCCAGTTATATATATAACCAAACATAAAAAAGTATATACTTACATGAGTGGGCAAATCCTTAGGCAATATATTCATATACTGTTCTTTGAAGTAACGGTTACGTGTTAAGTGAAGTGAATTTGACTGCCAAAGTAGGGAAAGAAAGCAAATAGCAAAAAGCAAAAATTATCACTAAAATAAGCCAAGAGAAACAAAAACGAAAAGTAACAAAAGTTAAGCTTTATGAATAATATCATGTCTATTTCTTTTGTTGTTATTACTATTTTGTTGGTTTTTTTTTTGTTGTCATAGAAGTGCCGAAAACACTTAATGACACATTCATATAAATGTTTTCGCTTAAACCGGTGGCTGTCGAAGATGTCTCTTTCAAGTGGACATGAATGGATGTGTATCGACGCACATCAACGTGCAAATGCATCGAAATATACATACATAGTATACTACAACATTGGTATAAGTCGAAAACATTTGCTTTAATATACATATATAGATATGTATGTATTTAATACTATATGATTAACATTTACATTCTTCTTTACTCAAATGCCAATGGCTTTTATTACAACAACCATAAGTGTCTAAGTGGCATTTGATTATATGTACTTATGTACCTTTTGAATACATGAATTCGGATATAAGTATCAGCAGAATACTTGTTTGCCTACTTTCGAACAAAAGCTGGTAAGTAAATATGTGCAGAAAGTATGTACTCGTCCATATGTAGAAGAAATAGACAAGAACCCAACAGAAAATTATGAAAGAAAATGCAACTTTTTGTGCGAAGCTTTTAGTAATTATTTTTTCCAATTTACTTTTCTATTGGAAATAGTTTAAATAAAAAATTTATTATAAAATTAAATTATTTAAAACCCAAAATTTTTGCTCAAGCACAAAGAAAAACTAGTTTAAATTATTTCCTTTTATAAGGGGAAAGTAATTACTTTACCTTACCACAATCAAGGTTGTCGAAATGAACAATAATTTGCATATGGTAATGACCATCTTACATTTTTATGTAAAGTATAATTTCATCAGTGTAATAAAGGTAATTTATTAACTCGCTTACAGGCTTTTCTCATGCGGCCATAATATACTTTTCACAAAAATGAAAATGTTTGACGAAGCAAAAAATTAAAAGAAAGGAGGAATAAATTAAGCTCTTTTATATGAAAAGCAAGGAGAAAATGGCTTAACCAATTTATTTACATATGTCCCGCGGAAAAGAAGACTGATAAAAAAAATAATAATAATTGGTTATTTAATTCATTATCGTTTCGAGATCAACGTCATCTTACGGCATTTCATCAGAAGTGCACGTCCTTAAGACCACTTGTGAGAACTCAGAATTTCTGAGTTTTAAATGAATCATGAGTACGGTTATTAAACCACAAACGTAGTTCTGAGTATGACACAATAAACAAGGTAGCTGCACCCAAAATTTCTTTCAAAAATGTTAACCATCTGCCATAAGAATATTTTATGACTTTTGCTTTATTTTTGAGCTAACAATTTGATTTTTAAAAATATAAATTTTCAATTAACTAAAATTTAAAATTTATATATCACAAAAAATTAAATACCTTTCAAGGTGACAAATAAATAAAAATAAATTGTACCCTCAAAAGCTCAGAGGCTAAGTTAGTTAGTTAGTTACCGCACTTAGGGCTGAAGGCTCTTAGTGATGAGGCACCCCTCTCAATTTTCTAGAAGCTCAAACCATTTAGTGTGCATTATGAAACCCACAGTACCATTGAGATAAAATTTGCCGTAGAGAACTGGGTAGTGTCAATGGTAGAGCTCTACCAACTCATCCTTATATACTACACCCTTGCAGCCACGACAGCAGTCAATTCAGAGGTAGCCCATATTCCTAATGTGAAACCCCATAAGTCATTGTCTATTTAATTATTATGCTGGTTGGTTCCTAATTGAGATTGTGTTTAGAAATAGTAAAGATTATTTGTATCATCCGGGTGATCAGGTATTTTTACGGGTCGTGCTCGGAATTTATTATGGTTAGTATAGTTCGCTTCTATGCAGTTCGTCGATTACATACATTAGGACCAGAAATTTTCAGGGACAGACGGTTAATAAAGAGTATTTTTTGAGCGTTTCCAAGCGTTTGCGCAAACAGCCGGAATTAGGGGCCAACGTTTTCCGGAAACTTTCAAGACGATATTGCATCATTGCACCAAACTGTAGATGTCAACGATTTTAACACCAAAATGTTCAAGACCATCCAGTAATCACCATATTCACTGAGTTTGGCCCCATGGGACTCTTTTCATTTTCCAAAACTTAAGTGACCAGACTCGATTGTGGGCGTAGAAGAAAATTCGGAGAGGGAACTAAGGTCGACTGATTTCAGCAGCTATGGCAAACAAATGAGAGATCACGGTTATTTTTGGCCAAGTAATTAAGGGCAGTTTAAATTAAAACTTCCGGAAACTTTCAGCTCTTAATGTATTCCCCTAGAATAGCCTGTAGTCGAGAAGCCAATTTCGCTGAAGGTGGAAAATTTTCTTATGATTTGCCTGAATCGCTGTGCCATTTGGACATGGTACAATATGATTGCATTGAAGGGAGTTGATGAGGATTGGCCATGTTAGTCCAGTATTGAAAAACAATTGCAAGATGATTATTTTAGAGATGACTAAAAATTTTGGGGAGAGCAATGCTCTTCTAATGATGATGATTTAAAAATGGGTGTAAGTATTCATTGCGCTACTCGTACACTGCCACAATAAGAATAACTAAGTAATATGATTTGTATAAAGTTGTATGTCAATACTGTCAGTTGAAATTTAAGAAGGAGAAGATCATTTTTATTGAGAATGTTCACTCAGTACTCACCGATTTGTTTGGTGGCCAGAGAAACGCTGCTTTTGAATAGTATCGTTTTCCATGGGACAGTTTTTCTTCCAATATGAATCATATTGGCATTTTAGTCAACGTTATTAAATTTTTTATTGAAAGAGGAAACCATTGAATTTGAAACAGGTACCATTATTTATCAAAGATGGAAACACTGATAAATTTATTGAATGAGATACAAACATAAACTTTTGCCTTTTACTCTCAAATTCATAAATGATTCATTCTATTAATTGGGAGTCTATTAATACTAATCGCTAAGCATTCTAAAATATGTGTAAAGATTTTATTTAGTTGAGTTCAGCATAATGTTGCATTAAGCTTAGCTAAATATTGTCATAGAGGCACTTTGTAACTACGGAAGTCTTTAATCTCCCAGAGGAGTGTGTTTGTTTAGCAATGCACTTGTTCGAATAATCCTTTTAGTTAAGTAGAAAATCATCAAATTTACTTAGTGTCTTTAAGCATAAATTAGCATTAAAAAGACTGTGTAAATTGCTACTCATCGACATGCACATGCACATGCACATGCATTTACGTATGTATGTATGAAAATAGGTATCGCAGGAAGGCAAAGTAAATCAAAGTCCAACCTTGTAGAAAGTATGTACTTCAAAAATATACATATTTATATGCATATACGTATATACCGATGAAGGTACAGAAGTATGTTCACATATAATTGTATATAAATGCATGATTGCTTGGCTAAACGTGAATTTAATGCAGAAACGTGCAATATTTCAGAATCTTCATATTACATTCTCAAACACATATAAATATTATATTTGGTATAAAAATGTATATCTTTCTGCATATGTACATATATATGTAAGTATATAAGCATCCACAGCGAGTAAAAAAAGACAATGGCATGGATTAAATCCGCAAATGAAGCATGTCACGAACGTTTGGAATAAAGCAAAGCGGATTGTGCTGCAACACTTTTGACAGAGTTGTGGCATTGGGAGCTGCCAGCAGAACAGTTCAGCTCAATACAAAGTAATATACATATATAGGGTGCTGAAAGGTAAGCAGTAGATTCTTAAGGAAAAGTCGAATTAAAATCTAGTGAAATCCATATGCCTTATTGATTTTGCAGGTTTCCAATACAGTATTGGTATTTTTTTGTAACTGATTTTTTTGCTACTATTTCACCACTGCTATTTCCTACTTCTATATTCTACTCCTATATTGTATATAAAATTATTTTCTACAACTATTTTCCAGCCACCATTTTATCACTTTTTACTATTTCAGATTTCCCCTACTATTTTGTCTGGTACTAA